GGAAGGGGTGGGTGTTGTTTAGAAACTGCCCAGCCTACTGGGTAGAGCTGTCTTAACTTCTTAATGAAGGCGGCCTGGCTGCCTCGTGCTTAGAGCACGTGGCTGCTATTGGAAAAGCCTGCAACTCTAACCCACGGGCCACTGCACGGAGGAACGATGCGGCTGTCCACGTTGGTCAAGATGGCAGCCTGGGACACCCTACAGGGGTGGGGGCAATCCCCCTCTGTCCTGGGGACTCCCTACAAGTCAGAACCGGCGCAAAGGTGGTGAGTCAGGGGTTGGTTTCTGTGTCCCGGCTGGCTGTTAACAGAAATACAGGCAGTGGCTTTCAGAACCAGGAATGCGCTCTCTCCCGTCTGGACTTCAGGAGGGCTCTCTCACAGCTCGCCTGCAGTCGGAATCCCTTGTAGAGAGTTGAGCATTCAGACTTCTGAACTCCATTTGTCCAGTTTCCCAACCCCTGCTAACATCTCCTGGAATTCTAGTGCCTGGAAAGAGCTGGTCCCGGGTGAAGCTCGGCTAACGATCCCACTCTGATTCTCAATCATGCCGGAGGCTCAAAACCAAACCCACACCAAACTCCCTACCACCCAGCTGACGCTGACTCATGGCGACCCTGGGAAGAACTGCCCCTGGGGGATTAAGGGATTCGAAAGTCCCAACTTTCTCCCATGGAGCAGCTGGTGGTCTGGAACCACTGACCAAGCTGTTAACCACTACGCTACCAGGGCTCCTGTTTCTGGGCTCAACTCATCTTACATTTACTGGTGGCTGGGCACGCTCCCCTCTCACCTGCCTTGCCATATTCTTGTGGGGTGGCTCTGGGCATCATCCATCTGCTTGAAATATGGTTCCACCTCCCCTGCCTTGCCAGGATCCTGTCCATGCAGTAGCCTGTGCTGACCCGCACGCCTGACTGCCCGGATTGAATTTAAAGCTCATGTCTCTCCACTCAATTCTGACAGGCGACCCTCATCCAATCCCAGGTCTCCTTCCAGAGCTCAGTCCTCAGTCCTTGACGAAGAAAAATTCCGGCTCAGAGAAATACTGCCACCCGCCCGGGGCTGCAAAAGGCCAATGCCGGAGGCGGGGGCTCTGCATGCACCTGGATTTCACCCTCCTCTGAGGTCAGCAGAGCGATCTGTTCACCACTACTTAACAACCTTAACTAGAACCTACCCAGGTGTCTGATGTTTACCACCCCTCAGCAGCCCCCTCTTCTCACCAGGATTTACGCCAAACTCAGGTAACTGAGTCCCGAATGTTCCAATTCTGTTGCTTCACAGATAAGGATTCCTGTCGCAAGTCTCCCTCCCTCCCTAGAGGGCCAGGTCTCCATCTGCCTGTCCCTGGCCTAAGGTGGAGACTGCAAAGAGCAGGATTCATTTTA